TCTGCTTGTTATTCTTCCGAAAAAAGCTTGATATCATGAATAAATTCATATACATTATTACTAGTCAGTATTCGATCAGATGTATTCGAATTAAAACATGATAATTTTTATGATCTCATCGATTTTCAATGTGGACCTGTACAAGCGAATATTCTTAAATTTCAACTGATCAATGATGCAAATATCTTCATGAAATGTAATGGTCCAATTAAGAGAAATCATTGATGGAGCTATCAAGCAATTGAAGAAACTCCAAATGTTTCCAATGTATGGACACCATTAAGCGCAGTCACTCCTAGGCAAAGCTCAGTTCAAGAGCTCAAAGATCATATCATCAAATTAGTTGATAATAGATCGATAAAAATCGAAATGACTTCAATTTGCAAGCCGAGAGTTCGTTAAAGAAGGCTGTTAAGTATATTTTTGAATGTGTGGATAATATTAATAGTCAGCGAGCGGTCGCCATTATCTGTACTTGCAGATTCGAATCGACTTTGAGTTATCTGAAGTTGCAGATGCGCACTAAATTGAATGTATACAGACAAAGAGAAGAATAGCTTTCATTTCAATCATTGGTATAAGAAATTGATGACCTATGGATCCTAGCAGTACAGGAGAAAAGCTAACTTAAAAAGTACCATAAAATGAAGAAGGAAAAAAAGACAAAGAAAAGCCAGCAATAGAAAAATAACGAAGGAGTAGAACCATTTCTAGATCAAAAGAAGGAAGACTGGAGAGAGAAGAACCGTTAGAGATCCACTTCATACACCTCTCACATGTCGAATAATTGTGAATGAATCTTTTAGAAATTCTCAAACCTGTTATTGAAAAGTCCCTATCAGCCCATTTCGCTCGAAATATGACTNATCTGTATTTCGATGGTTGAAATACACATTGCGAGAGGTAGAAATGCTCTCCTCCATGTTCGCAGATATGCGCAGTTGTGTGTGTATGTATGGATTGTAGGTGTGAATCTTAACTGGGAAGTCGTTTTTACGATCGGTTGTAGATATCGTTCGTAGTTTTTCATGAAATAGAGATTGTGTTTCGCAGTGAAAAAGGAGATGTCATGCTCAGAAATAATGTTATCAGATGGAGAAAGGCTCACGGGTATGTTGTTAGACTTGGTCGACATCGGTATATGTGCAGGGGAGGTGAGAATTCGATGGCAAAGTCGAATTTTGTTATTTATTGGAAGGATTGAAGTGGAAGGTTTTTATATATAAGGGGAATGTAGTTTGGATATTGAGCCTCATGATTCTGGCTATTACATGGTTTGTGAAGTGAAAGAAGCTTCATTTCAACCTTGAATAAGAATCTGCTATGCTGATGGAATCGGGTAGCGAGGAACTGGAAAGATCGGTGTTTTTACTCTGTGGATAGGAATGAAGATTTAGTTTTGATGGCGTATATGTAGGAATCTGCTTGAGTGTTTTGGAATTGGGTTGATTTTGAGATTGAAAGAAGTTTTGGTTTTTCCCAATTATCTTGAGGATATTTTTCGACGCAGTAGTCTTTGTCTAAGGTGGTGTGGTAGAAGCGATGAGTAACCGTTTGGTTTCATGCGAATCAGAATCTACGCTGTTTCTCATGCATTTGTGTGAGATGGTGGCCGGCATAGTGGGCAGTGTTTGTATAGGACAGTGTTTTTCTTTTATATACAGATATTACTCATTTCGACTGTTGAGCGATTGAAACTGCGGCGACCTGCGACTGTGATATGGAATGGTCTTAAAGAGCTCTCTGAGCGATAGTTGAGATTTTGTTTGGAGCAGCAGTTCTGGTGCAGATATTTAGGCGTTTTCATTATATGCCATTAGCATGGGTATTCGATGACGAATACGAACTATCTATGGCGAACGTATGACATACGGAGAAATTGTACTGGGTAGAAAAAGCAACATGCTCAAAATTTCGACACTTGCGCTCTTTATCTTTCCAGTTTTCCATTGCACAACACGGTTGCTTCGGTTGCAGTTTGGTACGCAAAGACGTGGCTGAATCTGATTTCTGCAATAGGAGTTTGATTGATTTTCTTTTATTTTGATATTTATTCTCCATTCCAGTCGTTCACTTATAGACTTCATTGCCACTTTCACACGTCAGTCTGTAGATTATATCTTCCCATTCACCCTTCCTCTCACTCTGATCCACCCTTGAGATTGATCTCAATCTTTTCAAAGCCTGCATCGCTACTGATTGACTACATCGATTCCCTGTAGCCAGTGCAACACCCATAAATGTATAGCACGCGTGGATAAGTCTCTTCGACCGCTCAGACAGCCTTTGCTATCACAGTTAAACTCGATGCTTTCTCCAACGAACATCCACCATTAACAGATCTCCCAAACCATGTTTTCTGACGTTTTGATCAATTTCGAAAAGAATGTTTTTTTAACCTTTGACCTGCGACAGACACACACACAAAGAATTTCCGTTTTTTGACCACTTTTTTTCAACATGACCCTCCTTTCAGTCGAGGGAACAACAACAATACTGATCTGTTGAAATTGAAAGTTCGAATTCATGGTGACAACAATCCAATTCCAATCAATTTTGCTCATAAAACAAGTAGTTGCTTGTCCTCGCTTCGGTTCACTCACTTGTTCGTGTCGAGTGCGAAGAAAATATTTGTAGATTGTTTCCAGGATCAAAATGAGATAAACGATTTTTGATCATCAATTTTTCAGGTTGATCAGATTCGGATCCTTTTCCATATTTTCATCTGTATAGTAATCTAGTTCGGCTAGAAGTCTTTATCGATACTGACCCATTTGCTTGCATAGAACGAGGCAGATAGAGAAAAAGGTAATAAAAGAATAAATAATCTGTTTAGTCTCTGATCAATAGTCGACTTGATTTGTCAATAGACTGAAGCAAAATAATGAAGGATTATTAGGTGCTAAGTATATTAATCAAATCCATTCATTATCTCTTGTATTGTATTGATTTATCTAACGGAAGAATGCTTTTGAATTTATGATAAATACCATTGCGGAACTCATCAAAATCAAAATAATCAATGTTATCTATTTTCTGAATGAGTTTGGGATGTTCGGATGTAAATTTGATTTTTCTCCTGGAAGAATTTTTCTGTTTCTTACGGCATTCATCTCCGGAAAAGTTTATCAACTATATTATTGCTTAAATCATTGAATGCAAAGGGTAAACAAATGATTTAGATCACTAAAAACTCAGTTGAATCAACTGAACTTGTTTTAAATCATGAGAAATCAGTAAAACCGCGATATAAAACTCATAATGAAAAGCTCCCGTTGCAACAAACAATTTATATCTGCTAAAAAAAACGTCAAATCAGTTTGATTGCAGCAGCTTAAACCAACTCAACATTCTGATATGAAAGGAATCACAATCAAAATCCGTATTCTTCATCGATGAACGAATGAATTTCTGCGAACACTTCATTCGCATTGAGAAAATGCTGGATAGTTAGGAATTGAATGTTTTTTACCTAATTGGTTCATACATTATTTTGTCTATTCAAAGTAAGTCGTAGATAAAATCTTTCTGATGAACTACAGTTCGCGTATGAATATTTTAAATAGTATGATTCTGTTCATTTACTAACAGAACGAAGAAAAAGAACGTTGAATGTATTCATTCTTTTCTTTCGTTCTCCAATGGTTCAGTTGCATCTCTTTTCATAATTCAATTATACTAATACATTTCAACTCTCTACTTGTTATTCTTCTGAAAAAGCTTGATATCATGAATAAATTCATATACATTATCACTAGTCAGTTCGATCAGATGTATTCGAATTAAAACGTGATAATTTTTATGATCTCATCGATTTTCAATGTGGACCTGTACAAGTGAATATTCTTAAATTTCAACTGATCAATGATGCAAATCTCTTCATGAAATGTAATGGTCCAATTAAGAGAAATCATTGATGGAGACATCAAACAATTGAAGAAACTCCAAATGTTTCCAATGTATGGACACCATTAAGCGCAGTCACTCCTAGGCAAAGCTCAGTTCGAGAGCTCAAAGATCATATCATCAACTCAGTTGATAACAGATCGATAAAAATCGAAATGACTTCAATTTGCAAGCCGAGAGTTCGTTAAAGAAGGCTGTTGACTATATTTTCGAATGTGTGGATAATATTACTAGTCAGCGAGCGGTCGCCATTATCTGTACTTGCAGATTCGAATCGACTTTGAGTTGTCATGTATAAGCAACGGAAATTTTAAAGTGAGTCCATAGAATTTTAACTGAAGTTGCGGATGCGCACTAAATTGAATGTATACAGATAAAGAGAAGAATAGCTTTCATTTCAATCATTGGTATAAGAAATTGATGACCTATTGATCCTAGCAGTACAAGAGAGAAGCTAACTCAAAAAGTACCCTAAAATGAAGAAGGAAAAAAAGACAAAGAAAAGCCAGCAATAGAAAAATAACGAAGGAGTAGAACCTCTTCTAGATCAAAAGAAAGAAGACTGGAGAGAGAAGAACCGTTAAATATCCACTTCATACACCTCTCACATGTCGAATAATTGTGAATGAATCTTTTAGAAATTCTCAAACCTGTTATTGAAAAGTCCCTATCAGCCCATTTCGCTCGAAATATGACTAATAACTAAATAGGATTGAGTGGGAAAGAATGTGCCAAAGGGATAGGGATGTCACAATACCAATACGGTATTGGAGTATTGGTATTGGTATTGGGTAGTATTGGTTGGTATTGGTCGGTATTGGTATTGGTATTGGTATCGGTATTGGTATTTTTTATGAGAACTAAACAAAATAGAACTGAATAAATTCAAAGAATTCAGACTGCCGCGTGCTGGCGAGCCTGAGAAGAGAATCTCTTCCGGAGATTCACAAGAGATCTTGATAAGTGTCAATGACTAAAGGGCACTATCTTACTTTAAACACAGTATATACACGCGCAGCACTGAGTGTGAGCGCGAGTGCTATGTTTAAAATAAAGAAATGCCAAATAGTGCTTATATTACTAGGTTTCTAAAAATGCCAATACCAATACCGACCAATATCGACCAATACCAATACCAATACCAATACCGACCAATACCAATACCACCCAATACCAATACCACCAATACCAATACTAACCCAATACCAATACTATTGGTATTGAAAGTATTGGTATTGTTACATCCCTACAAAGGGATAACTTTGCACAACGCTTTACTGCAATTTCGAAGTGGTAAAACGTCAAATAGCAGCGACCTCTGTGAACAGATGTATGAATCACTAGCATTTATATGATAGTTGCGCATAGATATAGAGAATATACGATGGTTTTTTCCTTTCTTGTCACTACAATACTCATCATCTTGAATTGAGACGAAGCACAATTATACACAACGGCGTTTCCTCAAATTATAGTTCTTAACTTAACGATTGTACACAGAAAGGAAAAAACTATGTTTTTTCCCGTGACGTCAATCGTTGTTTTTTCCCTTCGTGCAAGGACATCCAAGTATAAAAACAGACAGAGATGCTAGCATTATAGTTATAGAAAACTAGAACAGACTTTCTTCTCCAGATTTCATGGCATCCAATCAACATACAAGACAATCATGGGAATCGTCAACTACACCTGAATCAGCGTACAAACCCGATCATCCATATGGTCATGAGGATCGAACAGGTGTCGGTTTGAACAAAACTGCCGTTAGACATTGTGAATCACGTAATCAAGACGATCCGATGCGGCTTACTGACAAAAATGCATATGGTTTCAAGACCATGGTCAGCACGACAAATGCAACTAGTGAACGTGCATTCGTTGGAAGAAATAATGAACCAGCAGGCGTGACACGTCAGTATATCGGTGAGATCAATGGCCAACCAGCTGGTGCGTATGCGAGCGATCGCGGTATGGGTCCACGTATCAACACTACCTTTACACCGGATGAAACAAAAGGCTTTAAAAGAATCTAAATGGTCCTGCTCGGTTTCGTCTTCGTTAAACTTGATAGCTTTTTCGTTCATAATAACATATTTTCTTATTACAACATATAAATAAAATCTATACTTAAGCTATGGCAAGCAATTGAACAAAATCGATGTGCTTTAATCAATTTTATTGTTTAATTTAGAGTGTAAAATAAATTTAAATATCACTAATAGAAGAATAAACGAGACTTTGTGATAAGATCGAGTTGATTCCAGACAGAAATTTCTACATTCTCTTTTGGATAAGCGTGAAGGAGCTTACGGATTTTTCTTGTCCTTACGTATACTCTTCGATACGAAAAGTAAAGAATGGCCAACAGAGAAAAAACGTCAAATAGCGGCCTCTAGATTTCGTCGACGACATGTTGTGTCCTCCTCGTGTTGGATTCGAACGAAATGAATCGTTTGTATTACCCGAAAAGAAGCTCTTCGTATTTTACGTTGTCGTGTTATCTTATCTCGACATTTTACTTGACTTTTAGTAAAGAACTAGTAGGACATGTCCGTGGAACGTGTAACTGATGTTGCTTCGAATGCGAATGAAGAAGATTTGTTAAAATCTATCGATCGTCCAGTCGATGAATACGCATATTGGGAACAACAGATCGATGCAGTTTTATGCACGTTGGTTAAAAAAGGTTTAATGAATCTTCATCAACTTCGTCATGGTGTTGAATCCATTGACAAACCTCTTTATAATAAACTAAGCTATTACGAACGATGGACAATATCCATTGCAAAGCATTGTTTAGAATCAGGTTTATTGACACAAAATGATCTAAATCAAACGTATGGTTCGCCATTGTGTTCAACAGACGAGCAACTATTTCATGTTGGAGATTATGTACGTGTTCAACATGAAAATTACGCGACAAGATGGATTAAACCACATTTACGCACTCCAGGTTATATTTATGGAAAAACGGGAGTTATTGAAAAGTTTTGTGGAGTTTTTCAAAATCCGGAATACTATGCATATGAAAACAATGATGCAAATCAAGAACATCGACAACCTCTCTATCGAGTGCGATTTAATCAAAAAGATGTTTGGAATGATTATCAAGGAAACGACAATGATACGATTGATATCGAAATTTATCAACATTGGTTATTGCCTGTGTCGAAATCGGATTTAACAGATGAAAAGAAGGAAGAGCATTTACATCGTCATCATCATCACCATCATGATCATCATGAAGATGAACATCATGATCATGTTCATGAAGAACGAAATATAATCGAACAAAGAGCGATTGATCGTGAAGGAAATCCTTCGTCAATTCAACATTTAGCTGAATCATTAATTAATTCACTGATTGAGAAAAAGCTTCTCAATTATAATGAATTAAGAAAACAGATAGAAACCATTCAGATGGCTGGAACGAATTCAAAAGGTGCAGAACTTGTTGTCGAAGCTTGGTTAAATCCAACATTTAAGGAAAATCTGCTGAAAGATCCAACAAATACCATAAAGCAGTTTTTAAATTTTAATGATTTCAGTACAAATATGTGTGTCGTGGAAAGTACCGATGAGATTCATAATCTGATCGTTTGTACACTCTGTTCATGTTATCCACGGCAATTACTTGGTCTTCCACCTGGCTGGTACAAATCAAGATCATATCGAACTCGTGCGCCGAGAAATCCTCGACAAGTGTTGAAAGAATTCGGAACGGAAATACCTGAACATGTGAAAATACAAGTTCATGATAGTACAGCAGATTTACGGTATTTAGTGCTTCCGCGTCGACCGAAGGAAACTGAAGGTTGGTCGAGAGAACAACTAATTCCATTGGTTACTCGGGATGCGATGATCGGGGTGTCGGAAGTCAAACTTTAGACGTATTTTTAGTTTTGAAATAAAACTATTCATGAAAAGGAAATACTCTAAATGATGATCGTTATTCCCATTGTCAGAAAAAACGATGAAAGTATTGATCAATGGTTTCGCGTGAGCTCAAAAGTAGATAATCATACTTACATTTCTCTTTGTACGTAATCACTCAGCAATTGATAACTAAGTGAATGGAATGCTCTTACAGGTAATATTGTGGATAAAGTGGATGGAGATCATTGTTGTAAGTATGGAGCGAGCCTTAGTCGTGTAGTTTCAAAATGTTCTTTTTGCTCGAGTATTTCATATAAGTGGTGATTGCAGTGTCTGGTACTCTAGTGGAAAATTTTGTTAGAACATGATTAAATGATACGACACCATTCTTAGAAATTGATCGACGTAGATGTCTTCTTCACTACCGACACATTGTATGCTTGAAAAGATTCCACTTTGATACAGTTGATGCCATGAATCATCTTTCGGTGGTTCAAAATTGAATTCTGTAGATGTCGAGCACCATAATTTAACATAACACGCTTGAAATGAATCCTTGAAACTACAACGCAGCTGTTTTTGCATTGAGGATAATTTGCCGCAACGAAAATAGATTTTGCGCTTTAAATCGGTTCCCATTATTAAAACAAAACTTCGCATTCTACTTCAAAGTGACTCTGATTGTGGATGTGAGTGTAAGCGTAAGCAGCAATTCTTCTCTTTTTATCTACTTCAATCTTAAGTAGAACATTCCGCAAATTAAAGTATACCTTACCTTTCCATGTTCTCTGGTCCGCTCTGAATATGTGCCGTAGGAAGCAGACTCATCATTTTGACGTACAACGTTAACTAATCAAATGTTTTCTGGATTGTTTGCTCAATATGTTTTATTCGACAGTATTGTAGAAAAAATGTACTGAATCAGTTATTGATCGTAAACGATTAACATCAATTGCTATTTATACGTCACTTTCGATAATATCAAAACAAATTATTTGACATCGTTCGGTACTGATGTTTCTGTAATCAATAAATTCAAAGGTGTTGGAGCGTCTTTCTGAACCATCTACGATCTTGATAAGAAAGTCTTTTTATCTTGCTATTTTCAACATTTTACTCTTCTACGTTGTTATAGAGAAGTGCAGCATTGTGGAGAGAATAAGCAATTCTTTTGTTTGCATTTGAGGAAGACATATTTTTTTATTTTTTGTACAAGAACCTGCGTCTTCGCGTATAAAAAATCTGTATCGTCAATACTATGTCAAAGGAAAGTTCTTTAAACAGATTAGAGCGATATACACAGTATAGTATAGAGAAGAACTATCATATTCAGAATCTCAATCTTCTGACTATCAACAACAAACAAAGATAGTAAAATCAGAATTATTATTGAGATATCAGTGTAGTGTAACAATAAAAAAATTTTGTAACAACGAATTTATTGTCTTCAATTTAATCAATAGCAACTCTATCTCAATTACATAGCACAATAGTTTGTTTTTCTATTTTTACTAAATAAAACAATTATTTATGAAATGAGTCCATTGCAATACGATAAAATTCATTTATATTAGTCAATTTTATTGATAAGCAGACGTCAAATTTATCTGAAATCTCACGTCGTATTTTTAACTATGTCTATGACACGTATGTAAATTGTAACTGTCAAAATTTTGATTTCCGTGTATGTCATAAAATATTGAACAGATGTTTATATTCGCATAGAATAGAAAACTAAAAAATTCTATCGGATCAAAGCGGTAGAAATGGCTTGTCCGAAATCGTTTCGATTATTTTCATTTTATATTCTTTATATCATTGAAATGAGTCGTCCTGTTCAGCATTACATGTTTGAGCATACACTGCATTCGGAACAATCATCAATGTATCGAGATTGCTTTCGAATGCCAAAAGCATATGGAAATTATAAAGAACGATATACAGTAGATGCTGACAACTATATTCATTATTGTATTCGAAATGAAAAGAGCCAAAAGAGTAAATTGCTGAGACAATGTGGTGTACATGGTAAAAAACGTACATTTAGTTCCTTATATGAGCAAAGTATGCAAACGAATAGATGAAGTTCCGTACGAATTCTCTTGTTTCTTTTATTGTATTAGGTTATGAAGAAGATTGGTTAATCGAAAATGATATTCCATCTGACTTAGTCGACGCTTATGGTGAATATCTTATTCTACGAAAATCTAACTTAAACGACTCAAAATTAAATAGAATGCATAAAAATTTTATATGTATATGTCCACCACGTAAATGTAAGTTTAAAATGAAAGGAAATATCCACAGTAGAATGAATTTATTAAATTCTTAGCTATTGGTCGATACTGCGAATATTTTTTACCATATGAAGACGACGTAGAATTTATTGGTTATCTGAGTTTACTTGATTGGTATATCAATTTCACATCCTGTACCTTGTTATTCACTTCTCGGATCATTATGTTTAGATAAGTTTAATCGTGAAAAGTGTCTTGATTGGCGTGATATTTGTGACGGTAAATGGGATTGCTCTAATGGTGAAGATGAACGACAATGTATTCAATTAGAAATGAATTCATGTCAGTCAGGAATTGAATTTCGATGTCGAAATGGTTTATGTATTCCTCGTGCATTTCTTTTTGATGGTGACTTTGATTGCATGGATGGAAGTGATGAACGACATGAATTCAATGATAAACGCTGTTATGAATTAGCACAATTTGATTGTGACGAACGAATTTGTCCTTATAATACATTTTCATGTGGTGACGGTCAATGTGTTGATTGGGAGGACGGTATCGTTTATGGCAATCTGGAATATTTCGTTGGCTCTGTAGAGGAAATGCCTGGTTGTAGGAATCAAAAGAATTNTTCACTGATTGAGAAAAAGCTTCTCAATTATAATGAATTAAGAAAACAGATAGAAACCATTCAGATGGCTGGAACGAATTCAAAAGGTGCAGAACTTGTTGTCGAAGCTTGGTTAAATCCAACATTTAAGGAAAATTTACTGAAAGATCCAACAAATACCATAAAGCAGTTTTTAAATTTTAATGATTTCAGTACAAATATGTGTGTCGTGGAAAGTACCGATGATATTCATAATCTGATCGTTTGTACACTCTGTTCATGTTATCCACGGCAATTACTTGGTCTTCCACCTGGCTGGTACAAATCAAGATCGTATCGAACTCGTGCGCCGAGAAATCCCCGGCAAGTGTTGAAAGAATTCGGAACGGAAATACCTGAACATGTGAAAATACAAGTTCATGATAGTACAGCAGATTTACGGTATTTAGTGCTTCCGCGTCGACCGAAAGGAACCGAAAATTGGTCGAGAGAACAATTAATTCCATTGGTCACTCGGGATGCAATGATCGGAGTTTCGAAAGTCAAGCTTTAGCCGTAGTTTTAGTTTTGAAATAAAACTATTCGTGAAAAGGAAATATTCCAAATCTTAAGAAATCGATCGGACTATGATTCATTGTCGAGAGTTTGCAGAAGTTCGCGAATGTACGTCAGTAGATTGCGATTCATTCAATCTCACTGATGATTGTGCTACATATTCTTTAAGTCGATATATGATTGGCAGAGTGTCAAAAAAAAAGATTAAAGCATCGATCAATGTTTTCACGTGAGTTCAAAAGTAGATAGTCATACTTACATTTCTCTTTGTACGTAATCACTCAGCAATTGACAACTACGTGAATGGAATACTCTTACAGGTAATATGGTGGATAAAGCGGATGGAGATCATTGTTGTAAGTATAGAGCGAGCCTTAGTCGTGTAGTTTCAAAATGTTCTTTTTGCTCGAGTATTTCATATAGGTGGTGATTGTAGTGTCTGATACTCTAGTGGAAAATTTCGTTGGAACATGATCAAATGATACGATACCATTCTTAGAAATTGATCGACATGGACATCTTCTTCACCACCGACACATTGTATGCTTGAAATGAATTCTTGAAGCTGCAATGCAGCTGTTTTTGCATTTAGGATAATTTGCCACAACGAAAATGGGTTTTGCGCTTTATGAAGTAGAACATTCCGCAAATTAAAGTATACCTTACCTTTCCATGTTCTCTTGTCCGCTCTGAATATCGGCCATAGGAAGCAGACTCATCATTTTGACGTACAACGTAAATTAATCAAATGTTTTCTGGAATGAAATCTTCAGAAACAATGAGGAATGTGTCAATAGATTTTGTTTGCTCAATATGTTTTATTCGACAGTATTATAGAAAAAATGTACTGAATCAGTTATTGATCGTAAACGATTAACATCAATTGTTATTTATACGTCACTTTCGACAATATCAAAACAAATTATTTGACATCGTTCGGTGATGTTTCTGTAATCAATAAATTCAAAGGTGTTGGAGCGTCTTTCTGAACCATTTACGATCTTGATAAGAAAGTCTTTTTATCTTGCTATTTTCAACATTTTACTCTTCTATTTTTTTAAATTTTTTGTACAAGAACCTGCATCTTCGCGTATAAAAAATGTGTATCGTCAATACTATGTCAAAGAAAAGTTCTTTAAACAGATTAGAGCGACATACACAGTATAGTATAGAGAAGGACTATCGTATTCAGAATCTCAATCTTCTGATTATCAACAACAAACAAAGATAGTAAAATCGGAATTATTATTGAGATATCAGTGTAGTGTAACAATGAAAAGATTTTGTAACAACGAATTTATTGTCTTCAATTTAATCAATAGCAACTCTATCTCAATTATATAGCGCAATAATTTGTTTTTCTATTTTTACTAAATAAAACAATTATTTATGAAATGAGCCCATTACAATAAGATAAAATTCATTTATATTAGTCAATTTTACTATTGACGATAGTAATCTTATCATATACCTGGAATTGAAATGTGCACGTTCAGAATCGAGGAACTTATTGATAAGCAGACGTCAAATTTATAACTATGTCCATGACATGTATGTAAATTGTAACTGTCAAAATTTTGATTTCCGTATATGTCATAAAATATTGAACAGATGTTTATATTCGCATAGAGTAGAAAACTAAAAAAAATTCTATCGAATCAAAGCGGTAGAAATGGCTTGTCCGAAATCGTTTCGATTATTCTCATTTTATATTCTTTATATCATTGAAATGAGTCGTCCTGTTCAGCATTACATGTTTGAGCATACACTGTATCCGGAACAATCATCAATGTATCGAGATTGCTTTCGAATGCCAAAAGCATATGGAAATTATAAAGAACGATATACAGTAGATGCTGACAACTATATTCATTATTGTATTCGGAATGAAAAGAACCAAAAGAATAAATTGCTGAGACAATGTGGTAAACATGGTAAAAAACGTACATTTAGTTCCTTATATGAGCAAAGTATGCAAACGAATAGATGAAGTTCCGGGTACGAATTCTCTTGTTTCTTTTATTGTATTAGGTTATGAAGAAGATTGGTTAATCGCAAATGATATTCCATCTGACTTAGTCGACGCTTATGGTGAATATTTTATTCTACGAAAATCTAACTTAAACGACTCAAAATTAAATAGAATGCATAAAAATTTTATATGTATATGTTCACCAAGTAAATGTAAGTTTAAAATGAAATTGGAAATATCTACAGTAGAATGAATTTATTAAATGCTTAGCTATTGGTCGATACTGCGAATATTTTTTACCATATGAAGACGACGTAGAATTTAGTGGTTACCTGAGTTTATTTGATTGGTATATCAATAAACGCACGGAACTTATATCAATTTCACATCCTGTAACTTGTTATTCACTTCTCGGATCATTATGTTTAGATAAGTTTAATCGTGAAAAGTGTCTTGATTGGCGTGATATTTGTGACGGTCAATGGGATTGCTTTAATGGTGAAGATGAACGGCAATGTTTTCAATTAGAAATGAATTCATGTCAGTCAGAAGTTGAATTTCGATGTCGAAATGGTTTATGTATTCCTCGTGCATTTCTTTTTGATGGTGACTTTGATTGTATGGATGGAAGTGATGAACGACATGAATTCAATGATAAACGCTGTTATGAATTAGCACAATTTGATTGTGATGAACGAATTTGTCCTTACAATACATTTTCATGTGGTGACGGTCAATGTGTTGATTGGGAGGACGGTATCGTTTATGGCAATCTGGAATATTTCGTTGGCTCTGTAGAGGAAATGCCTGGTTGTAGGAATCAAAAGAATTNCTTTGATTGTATGGATGGAAGTGATGAACGACATGAATTCAATGATAAACGCTGTTATGAATTAGCACAATTTGATTGTGATGAACGAATTTGTCCTTACAATACATTTTCATGTGGTGACGGTCAATGTGTTGATTGGGAGGACGGTATCGTTTATGGCAATCTGGAATATTTCGTTGGCTCTGTAGAGGAAATGCCTGGTTGTAGGAATCAAAAGAATTTACGAAAATCTAAAGTTACCTTTGATCAAAATTATTCTAATAATTCTATAACAGGTGGAATATGTGAACAATATCCTTCTGATTTTCATCGATGTCCTATTTCACGAGAATGTATATCCAATCATCGACTTTTAGATGGCTATTTCGATTGTCTGGATGAATCCGATGAAAATAGAGTGAACTTCAATTCATATATTGATAAAATGTTTCTACAGGATCGTTATAAATGTGAAACAGTTCCAGGTATGGTTATGTTTCATCTTCTTGGTAAGTTCAATATTTCTTTCATCAGAGGCGATGTCAATAGATGTGCATAGGTGATGGACAAACTCAATGTTCCGACGGATCTGATGAGATGAATACATGGATCAATTGGAAAATGATCGAATGCCAACGAGCAACGGATCACGGATGTCAAATACTCAAAAAAGCTTCTATATGGAGAAGTAATAAGAAAGAGTTGATGTTACCTTTTGATAATCTGTGTGATTCTTTTTGGCATATGCCTTATGGATTTGATGAAATGTATTGTTCCAATGGTGGGTGGATCTGTCCACACAATTGGATTAAATATAATCGATCGGACACAACTATTTGGAATGGTAATTGTGCACCAAAAGATGCCCGATGTGATGGTAAATGGGATCATCCCGATGGGCGAGACGAATGGAATTGTAAATCAAAGAATGGGATATTTCCAAAGTAAATAGATAATATTTGTGTTGATTTGTTGATATTTGTATGTTTCTAGTTTTGTCCAACCACAAGTATTCGATTGGCCATGTCAACACGTGATAACTAAAGAAAAAATTAATATTTCTCTTAATCGAAATCTTCTTGGCGACGGAACGATTGATTGTGTTGGTGGGCAAGATGAAAGATATACATTCGTGTGTCAAGATGGTTTACAAATTCAAGATCGATTTCGTTGCACAAATGGGACCTGTATCCCACAACAGTTTGTTTGTAAGTTTCGTAAATATAAATGTATGCAACAATCGATCGCTTTTTTTTTCTCTTTCCAGGTGATGGAATAGATCAGTGTTCGGATAGTGAAGATGAATTAAATTTATATTGTGTAAAGAATCACAATCGAACCTTTTCCTGTAAATCTCCAGAGTGGTTTAATTGTGGCGATACATGTGTGAAGAATGATCAGCGATGTAACGGTAAAATAGAATGTAAAATCAATGCTAATGATGAAAAATCATGTCATATGCGAAACACAAATCAGAGAAAATATTCAAAAACAAGAAGCAGCATCAGAAAAAAACGCCGTGTACTCGATATTCAGAGAATATGGAGATGTCATCATGGTATATATGTTAATGAAGGATCTGCGTCTGATGCCAATGAACGATGTTTTTGTCCGCCGAGTGCGTTTGGCGACCATTGTCAGTTTTATGCACATCATATTACTGTTGTATTTACACTCGACATGACAATAGATTTATCTAAATCTAATAGTACAACAATTCGAGTTGTTACTCTTCTTGAATATCACGGGAAAATAATCGATTTCATGATTTTATCTTATAATNTATATGTTAATGAAGGATCTGCGTCTGATGCCAATGAACGATGTTTTTGTCCGCCGAGTGCGTTTGGCGACCATTGTCAGTTTTATGCACATCATATTACTGTTGTATTTACACTCGACATGACAATAGATTTATCTAAATCTAATAGTACAACAATTCGAGTTGTTACTCTTCTTGAATATCACGGGAAAATAATCGATTTCATGATTTTATCTTATAATTCGATTCAGTTACCATTAAAAACAAAACAACGCTTTTATCTCTTTTATCCTTGGTCATTGTTAAAAACCATTCGAGAAGCATCGTCGAAGGATTATACAGTAAGTTTTCATCTCTACAGTGCTGCCTATGAACAAATTCGACTTCTTTCTGTCTGGAACTATTCTATTAAATTTCCGTTCTTACCTGCTTTTCGTGTTACGGCTCAACTAATATATCGCCATTCTTCGACATGTTCAAACCAGATAATCGAGTCCTGTGGATCACATAGCATTGGTTGTCATTTGATTGATAAAACAATAGCCTATTGTGAATGCAAACCACCTTGGTACGGATCAAGATGTTCTGAACGACCTTCGATCAATCCATGTGCTGAGCATAGTCTCTATTTTCCTGCATATCGATCTGGCCTCAATCAAACTGAAGATTTCATATGTATATGTTCGGATCATCGAAAAGGTCGTACATGTCATATTTCAGCTACACAGAATAAAGTTTCACATACCTTTAATAATGATACGTGCTATTATCTTACAGAAGGTAACTACGATTTGAAGTCAAGTAGGACACATTGCATATGTGCAGCGAATTTATATGGATCTAAGTAAGTCACCTTGAAGATGTGAGCGTCTTATTATTCTTGTGTGCCGTACAATTTTCTAGTTGTCAACTCAAAGCCGCAACAACAAGTCTTAATATATCGAATACTATTGCGGATAAATCATCGATACTTATATTACAATTAAATGATTGGAATGAGGATTCTACCAGAATGACTATTTCTACACAACAATTTATTACTATTGAAAACAATCCATCGAAAATATTTTTTGCTGGTAGAAGCTTTCCTGATACGGCTTTACTGAAAATTTATAGAAATAATCATGTTAATCACAAAAGAACATATGATATATTCGTTATTTGGCAACCCTACATACCCCAACGTCAAAGTCATCACATATCTATGGAAAATAGATGTTATCACGTTGAAGAATTGAAGAATTTAATCCCATTTAATAACGAAAATGATCAATCTTTAAATCAAACTATGTATACTCTCAAATTTTATCATCAACCTTGTCAACATCTGAATATTTCATGTTTCTATGATGAACTAGCATATTTTTGTANTATATGTTAATGAAGGACCTGCGTCTGATGCCAATGAACGATGTTTTTGTCCGCCGAGTGCGTTTGGCGACCATTGTCAATTTTATACACATCATATTACTGTTGTATTTACACTCGACATGACAATAGATTTATCTAAATCTAATAGTACAACAATTCGAGTTGTTACTCTTCTTGAATATCACGGGAAAATAATCGATTTCATGATTTTATCTTATAATGCGATTCAGTTACCATTAAAAACAAAACAACGCTTTTATCTCTTTTATCCTTGGTCTTTATTAAAAACCATTCGAGAAGCATCGTCGAAGGATTATACAGTTAGCTTTCATCTCTATAGTGTTTCCTATGAAAAAATTCGACTTCTTTCTGTGTGGAACTATTCTATTAAATTTCCGTTCTTACCTGCTTTTCGTGTTACGGCTCAACTAATATATCGTCATTCTTCGACATGTTCAAGCCAGATGATCGAATCCTGTGGATCACATAGCATTGGTTGTCATTTGATTGACAAAACAATAGCCTATTGTGAATGCAAACCACCTTGGTACGGATCGAGATGTTCTGAACGACCTTCGATCGATCCATGTGCTAAGCATAGTCTCTATTTTCCTGCATATCGATCTGGCCTCAATCAAACTGAAGATTTCATATGTATATGTACGGGTCATCAGAAAGGTCGTACATGTCATATTTCAGCTACACAAAATAAAGTTTCACATACCTTTAATAATAATACGTGTTATCATCTAACAGAAGATAACTACGATTTGAAGTCAAGTACGAAATATTGTATATGTGCAGCGAATTTATATGGATTTAAGTAAGTCACCTTGAAGATGTGAGTGTCTTCTCATTATTCTTGTGTACCGTGCAATGTTTTAGTTGTCAACTCAAAGCTGCAACAACTAGTCTTAATATATCGAATACTATTGCGGATGAATCATCGATACTTATATTACAATTAAATGATTGGAATGAGGATTCGACCAGAATGACTATTTCTACACAACAGTTTATTACTACTGAAAACAATTCATCAAAAATATTTTTTGCTGGTGGAAGCTTTCCTGATACGGCTTTACTGAAAATTTATAGAAATAATCATGTTAATCACAAGAGAACATATGATATATTCGTTATTTGGCAACCCAACATACTCCAACGTCAAAGTCATCACATATCTATGGAAAATAGATGTTATCATGTTGAAGAATTGAAGAATTTAATTCCATTTAATAACGAAAATGATCAATCTTTAAATCAAACTATGTATACTCTCAAATTTTATCATCAACCTTGTCAACATCTGAATATTTCATGTTTCTATGATGAACTAGCATATTTTTGTAGATGTCATAAAACATACCGCTCGGCAATTTGTGGATTATATGATTTCTCTTTCGAACGTTGTGATTATTGTATGTCTATAATATAATTCTATAGTTTTGAACTGATCAATTTACATTTTTTTTATAGGTTTAAATGACGGTACATGTTTATTTGGTAATAAAATGAAAGATTATAATGATTTTATCTGTCAATGTCCTCGATGTTATCATGGTATATTATGTCACTATCGAACAGCTCAGTTCGGTTATTCGCTCGAAACTTTGATAGCTTCAAATGACTATCAAAATGAACAAAAAAATGAACATTTAGATACAAATACAAAATTCGCAGTTTGGAAACTAATTTATTTATCAATAGTTATTGTCATGATGATGATTGGTTTTATAAGTAATATAAGTTCTTACGTAACTCTTCATCATTCAACTATAACTCGTTCATCAATCATCTACTTTTTTATATGTATTTGTATATCAAATCAATTATGTCTTATCAGTCTTGTTGTTCAAATTGTCTATATTTTACTAAATGAAGCTCACTTTATTGGAAATAATATGATCAATTTAATTCTTTGCAAAACAATACCCTATGCAGTTAAGACATTAACTTATGTTAGTAAATGGTCAATGGCATATGTTAGTTTAACGCGTCTTCATAAGACAACGATAAAGGAATCTATCTTAACTTCGAAACATCTATCGAGTGCAGACAAAAAACAAGTAAATTTATTTTAAAATTCGATAGCCTTAGAAAATTATCTATTTAGACATTGTTCTATACGGTATGCATGTTTTGCGTCATCGCTAGTACAACAACAGAAATTTTCTTTCATCAATTAGTTAAGACTAAAGGATCAATGATACAATGTGTTATAAACTATTCAATGTTTTGGAGTCGTTTTGATACAGTTCTTCTATTTATTCATCATTTAGTACCGTTTGTAATATATGTATATTCATTTCTGATGACCATTCGATTGTTAGCACAAAGTAGATCATCGACTCAAAAACAATCATTTTCGGTTACATTTGTGAAACAAATGCAAAAATGTAAAAATCAATTGATTTGTCCTTTTCTAATGCTCATTTCAACATTACCTCAATTAATAATTGTCTTTGCTGTTGATTGTGATCAATGGTACAATATGTGGCTTCGTTATCTTATCCTTGCTATGTATCTCATTGCGCATACTCCTGAAGTATTAACGTTTATTTTACTTATTTATCCATCAACTGTCTACAAATGTGCTTTTCAACAGACAATCATTGGTAAGCGATTATCAACTATACTAAAATAACTATTGTTCAATATGAATCAACACTATGAATATATCAACAACACGATTCAAATTTTCTTTCTTTGCCATGGATTTTAAAATTGAGAAAAAAAATTTTGTACGATATTCAGATGGGATTGCTAATATTCACAGTTGTGGCATTTCGCTAATACATATGTCGCATTATTTTCAATAAAATTGTGTATTCATAAAATGTAATCGTTCGAAGGTGTAGATATAAATGTCGACTTCATGGGGAATTTGATTTTGCGGCAAAATCAATTTTAGGATTAAAATTCGACAATATCGAGACTTTCCTTGAGTCACTAATCGATTTCACTTAACGATTGCAAGCATCAACTATATGAAAACTATTGTTTTAAACAAGCATCTATATATATCAATGCTGAAACTCATATAAACTACGGGTCCCACGATCTTATATCAGCTTAGTGATATTACCACTGTCGTGGCAATCAGAATTCCAACAACAACGAAATATCGTAGTAGTCTGATCCTTTGAACTGTTTTTAGCTCAACTACTCAAATGATATCCTTTAGAAATCAGACTGTTCATCTCGTGCACCCAGGTCAACAAATCCGATGCTGAATCTGATCGGATCTGACTGGATCCGGCCATCCGACAAAATCCGATCGGATTCCTGGAAACGGAATTGCATTGGAATCCGACTAGAAAAATCCCGTCAGTTGTTGCAAATTTTATGAGCGATCGTTTTANTAACTCTTCATCATTCAACTATAACTCGTTCATCAATCATCTACTTTTTTATATGTATTTGTATATCAAATCAATTATGTCTTATCAGTCTTGTTGTTCAAATTGTCTATATTTTACTAAATGAAGTTCATTTTATTGGAAATAATATGATCAATTTAATTCTTTGCAAAACAATACCCTATGCGGTTAAGACATTAACTTATGTTAGTAAATGGTCAATGGCATATGTTAGTTTAACGCGTCTTCATAAGACAACGATAAAGGAATCTATCTTAACTTCAAAACATCTATCGAATGCAGACAAAAAACAAGTAAATTTATTTTAAAATTCGATAGCCTCAGAAAATTATCTATTTAGACATTGTTCTACACGGTATGCATGTTTTGCGTCATCGCTAGTACAACAACTGAAATTTTCTTTCATCAATTAGTTAAGACTAAAGAATCGATGGTACAATGTGTTATAAACTATTCAATGTTTTGGAGTCGTTTTGATACAGTTCTTCTATTTATTCATCATTTAGTACCGTTTGTTATATATGTATATTCATTTCTGATGACCATTCGATTGTTAGCACAAAGTAAATCATCGACTCAAAAACAATCATTTTCGGTTACATTTTTGAAACAAATACAAAAATGTAAAAATCAATTGATTTCTCCTTTTCTAATGCTCATTTCAACATTACCTCAATTAATAATTGTCTTTGCTGTTGATTGTGATCAATGGTACAATATGTGGCTTCGTCATCTTATCCTTGCTATGTATCTCATTGCGCATACTCCTGAAGTATTAACGTTTATTTTACTTATTTATCCGTCAACTGTCTACAAATGTGCTTTTCAACAGACAATCATTGGTAAACGATTATCAACTATACTAAAATAACTATTGTTCAATATGAATATACCAACAATACGATTCAAATTTTCTTTCTTTGCCATAGATTTTAAAATTGAGAAAAAGAACTTTGTGCAATAGTCAGATCGGACTGATAATATTCACAGTTGTGCCATTTCGCTAATACATATCTCGCATTATTTTCAATAAAATTGTGTATTCATAAAATGTAATCGTTCGAAGGTGTAAATATAAATGTCTCGTGTCACTCTTATCCGCATTCGAATTTTACCTTCACTTTGGTAGATATTCTCATCCTCAAAGACGGTAATATTGTTTAAATTACCGTCATTACTTCAGTTGTTCAAGTACCCTTGAGGATGTAGCAAAGCCACCGAGGATGCGGCGAATGATATTGCGTTGTCTACAAACACATCTGAATAACAGAAGACTTTCGATATTTAATTATAATAGTTAATTAAATAACTAGATTCTATTTTTGAGTTTGATGCTAGTGGATTATAGAATTGAGAAAGCAGATTGTGACTTGACAGAGTCCTGCGGTTATGGATTATTTCAGTAAAGATTGTTGAATCTGACATCGTGATGAACAAAACAGATTAGAAAGCCTGGAATCGGGCATACATGTAAAAGTCGAAGAGACTATTCGAGTATTAAACTTTCAATTCGAGCTTTCAACTTCTAAATTTAGAATTCGAAGATTCGAGTTTTAAACTCTTAACTAATTGGCTATTAAATATCCACTAACTAAACGCTAATTATTAAATGACTAACTGATTATCTTGAGGGTGGATGAGGGTGACGATGTCAGAGTGAGGGTGTTGTGGAGGGTGCAGCTGGCAACGGCATAGTCAGGGTCAATATGAACGGGATTCGTTATCGTTAATGGGCTGGCAATTTATAGTCATATAGTGAGCAAGTAGCGCTCATCCGTTGGATTCGCTGCATAGATGTCATAATGCCGTTACGACGGGTATCGTCAGCCGAACGTCACGATACGCTCACCCTGATCAACGAAAAAACATGCGTATCGACATCACCGTATCCTATCCATATCCATGAGTAATCACTTCAATACGCCAGCAAAAACACAACAAGACGTCGGCTTGAGGAATTTGAGTGGATTTGTCGTATTCACCACGATACGATCGTGTCGATCCATTTGAAAAGCTGATGGATTGAGCGGGTTTGTCGTATCCACTACGATACCCATATTCCTCATCGATCTACCAAACCTAAGGAATATGAGTTGATTTTGCATGATGATTTAATTGATGCAGGAATGAACTAATTCTATTCTTCAAGCACAAGAGTAATAGCTATTTTACGCCACGATTGTGTTTATATTCATATTCAAAAGGCTTTATGAAAGAAATTACACGTGGTACTTTTAAATTCAAACTGAATATAAATATATTCATGCTCACGCATGTGCTTGTCATAATATAATGGAAAATATTCCATGACAACGTTAGTAATGAGAAGTTAATAGAATAATCGATCAGAAAATATTAATTCATATATTTGAAATATTCGAAGCATCCGAAGGAAATCATAACATTTTTTCATTATATTTCTATGTACGCAGCCATTACATCCTCTCAATCCCTCAGCTTTTCAAATGGATCGATACGTGCGTAGCGTGATGGATGGCGAAGAGGAACGTAGTATGGTATTGGAGCGATTATGATCGATTTTGACGAATACCCGTCGTACCGATATTATGACATTACTCGAACGTCTGGTGGGGTGTCAAAGGAATTATTCATTGGGAAATTCTTCCTGCTGGCTGCACCATCACTGCTGACCTCTACTGCCAGCAATTAGACCGAGCTTGCAGCAAAACTTCATGGAAAGCAGGATAAGGTTTATTTTTTGCATGGCAAAGCCCGACCTCACGTTGCTAAGTCTGTAACGGTCAGTGTATAGCTATAATTCACCTATGCGACCTGCTTATAGATATTGACCTTGCCTTTTCTTTGTTATGTTATGCACGATGTTTCGTATATAAGCTGTGTTAAATAAAGGAACGACACGATTATGAGTGTGTCGATGACACAACACACCATCATGTCGCAAGACATAGACAATCACTCTCATAATTCGTCACAAAGTCGACCGAGGTCGATCATTCCGGCGACTGGATCCGTTGAAATCTGAGTCGGATCCGGTACAGGTCTTCTCGATTCCGGCACAGCTTTCGCCGATTCCAGCAGGTTCCTTGCCACCGGATTCCGGCCGA